TTAGGAAATTTTAACCAGAGTAGGCAAACTTTCTTATAAAATTAAAAAGCTTGAACTGGAAATTGTACAAGCTTTTAATGATTATGATCGAATTCTACTTATGTTTTGAATTAAAAATATTTCGCATATCCACTTGGTTTTTATTTTTGTTACAAATAGTTTTGTGTAGCACAAAAGCTCTTTTGAGATGTGCGGGACTCCAAACGCAAGGCGATATGTTAATTCAGCAACTTTTACAATAGTTTAGTTTTAAATTTTAATTTCAGACAAATATAAAACATTGAAATGCAAGACAAGACATTGAAACAACTCTTTATATTTATTTTCTATTTAAATAAAATTTTCAAACATAACAAGTTTCTTCCACACATAAAATTTGATAACTTTAATGTCCAAAACAAAACTAGAAGAAAATCAAGTAGGACTAGAATTATATGCCAAATTTGTTTTCTTGGTGAAATGGATTTTAACTTACGGTTTGAATGAAGTTTGTTATAAGTAATCTCAAATGTAATAAGCGCAGTTTTTAAGTTATTTCAAGTTTATGAGAATTGCGGCTAAAAGATCCTCTTTACAGCCGTTCAAAAATTAGTTTTTACTTTGAAGTGACCTTTGAAGCAAAAATTTTTATGAAACTTTAATAAAAATCCCACTTGTAATTACTAAACATAAAATTTCCAGTTGAATTACCAATTTTTAAGGCAGTTACTATTCAGTCCAATCCCAATTATAATTTTACTCAAAAGTTCACTGTTGTGCTCTTATACTTATTCTACTACTGAAGCAGCGAATTAGTGTTATATGGTTAATGTTAAGATATGTTACGTGATTATTGAACAGTTAGTCATTATTTTGCTACTTCAGCGGCGAATAAGGATCATTAAAAGTCATAAATTTGTCATAGACGAAATGCAATTTATCTTTAATTTACCATGGGTAATTTGACTGGACTGAATAGCGTATTACCTTTACAAAATTAGTTACTTGCTAAAATAATTTTTTTATTTTAGTTTAAAATAACAGAGACAAGAACGCATTTTGTTGGAAATTTGTCTTATTAAATTTCATTTTCAACTGCAATTACACCACAACACTATAAAATCCTTGGATTTAAGCTAAATCAAAGACTAATTGCTTAGAAGTACTTATTTTAGAACTTTTTTATATTAACTCATCCTAATGTAAGTATGTAGACTATTAAAAATGCTTAATTTTATAATTAAATTTAAAAGTAAATATTTAGGTTTTTACATTCACATAGCCTACCTCAGTTCTGCACTAGGCGGGAAATTAACTTAAGTGGAAAAAATTATAGTTGACGCCATTTCTATGACAAAAAATATAGTTCAATTTGAAAGTAAACAAATTTTATTTTTATCAAAGCCCTTTTGTAGTTCTATAAATATTGTATTTAACAATGTGGTTTTAAGTTCAGTTTCTGATATGCAGAAAATCAGATACTTCTGAATTAAGTAGAACTTTAAAGGTATTCTTAGTCTGTTTTGTGCATCGAGAAAAATACCAGAAACTTACAACCAAAAATACTTATAAAATTTCTCGAAACTTTATATTTAATTATTCATTGAATTGTTTTAGAATAGCACACTTTTCATCTTACATTGGAATAGCTTTTAAAAACACGCTAATAAGAAGTTGCTTTCAATGCATTTAGTTTGAAAGCACTGAATTTTAAAAAAATACTTTTTCACAATAAAAATGCTAGTTGCTTCTAATTATTGAGTCAATCTAAATTTAGATAAGTTGGGCAAAATTAACAGTTAGGTAAGAATTTCCAAAGACTAAGTGATCGCCCAATGTTTCCAATCAGACTAATCTGAATGATAACTTGAAATAGACAGTAAAATATCTAAGAGTTAAAATCTTACTATTTTCCTGATAACTACATAAAAGGATCCCACAACATCTTAATTAGAATTGAAATTTTGGCTAAGGAAGGAATTTTTCACTAGTTTCGATATTCGGTGGTAAGGAAATCAACGAATCTGGAGATTATATCTACATGACCGATATTTTTGTTAAAATTATTTTCGCATCGAACAGTATTTGCTTTAACCAATATTTATTTTAATGTTGTACATATTAAAGAGTTCGCCTTGAAGGTTTAAAGAATCAATAGAAAATTAAAATTCATAAAAATCTGCTCTTTGGCATTCATAATATAGGAATATTACAGCCAAAATTTAAAGTAAATGTTTTTAATTACATCCAAATGTTTTAAAAAAAATTCTCATGATTATTCATTAAAAAAAAAGGAGTAAAAGATCTTAAATATCTGTATCAGTCTAGTACAATGTGTAGGCAATTAATGTGAATTGAACAAACTAAAACAATCCCACAAAATTAAAAAGAGTTCTTGACCTGTATAGAGTCCTTATTCAACTCGTTACATCTGCTACTCATTTTCATGTAGTAAACCATTTTGTGCAGATTCTAGTAGAAGATTTTTCTCTTTGCATCAGAGGCTCAGTTTCACGAAGTAAAGCATAGGTGAAGATTCCAATAGAAGTGGTTAATTCTAAAAAG